AATTTACTAAAACTTTAGGATTAATTTAGTAAATAAAATGTTTTACAATCTGTGAGACCTAATACATTAGTTTTTAGGGGTCAGAGATTTTTTATTTTTATTTTTTTACACAATATTGCACATTTTTCAGCTAAAAGTAAAGTAAACTTACAAATTGATCAGGGTACTGAGTCATTGTTTCTTGTCCAAGCCATTTTGACTATAGTTATTTTGACTCAATCTTGCAAAATAAACTCCTGGATTGGATAAATTATTTATGCTAACTGCTGCTGAAAATAATAATAATAATAATAATAATAATAATAATAATAATAATAATAATAATAATATAATAATAATAATAATAATAATAAAGAAATATATAATTTGTTTTGCTCACAGCACATCCTCTGAAAATGAAGATAAAAATTTAGAAATCAAGTGCTTAAAAATTACTCCTGAGTGTAAAACTGAAGATAAGATGTGAGAGGTATGAAGCTTTTTATTTTTCATTTGGCTTCATCAGTTTTGCGTGTTTTGGTGTGCTGGTACATCTCATTTGTCACTCCTCACCCCAAGTGATCCTAAAAACAGATAGGTCTTGACTGGGCGCTTGTCGCTGCTGTGATTACAGTGCAGGGTCTGTGATTTGGCCTTTTGTGCCAGTGATGGACATAAGCAGCCGTTTCCTGACCATTCACTGGAAAGAAAGGGTTTATTCTATTCCTGTTTACCCAATCTTCTGTCTAAAAGTTAACATGCCCCATCTTAAATTCTTTTTCTTATTGCTTCAAAGCGCACCCAGATTCACAAAATTGCTTGAATAGTTGTTGGACTTTATAACCTACTGGCTGACTATTTTCCAGCTACACTTTTTCCTCAAACGTTTTCACAATTTAAACTTTTTACTGTGGTCGAATTTTTTATATTGTGTATTTGTGTATTTATATATTTATATATAATTTATTTTTAAAGGTGTAGGTACTGAGCCCTAAACTTATGCCAAGAGAAAGCTTGATGCAAAACAAGCAATGCAAAACCATGACTTGTGTAAGAAATAAACATATTACCAAAGCAGTGACTTTGTTGATTTTATTGTTAGTGAAGCAAAACAGCTTGAATTTTACATTTGCCGAGTGACTCACGGTAAACTCCCAGAAAGCACTCCAGACAGACACTTAAATAATAGGATGTGAAATTCTGTCAATCACACTATTATCTCTAATAGCTGTCTGGCTTTTTTGTGGCAATATTTCCTTGCAGTGTTTGTCCATCACCGCTGGTACTGCTCTTTTCACCTATTATGTAACTCAACACCTATGTCTTATGTAACAGCAGCGGTTTGTATTGTCCTGCAGCCTCGCCTCTTAGATGTGATTTTACTTCCTTTAGCACTTTAAATAGCCTCGGAGGAATGGACTAAAATGAGGAAGATATACGGTAAACAAAGGGGGGGTTAATTTACAATCCTGATTGGAACGTGGGTGCAGATTACAGCCCTGGTGGGGGCGTTGTCAGTGGAGATCAACTATGAATCTCATGGCGGTCAATATTTCAGTGCTGTCCACCTGTTTGTTTAGGTGTCTGCTGTCAAATGTACCCCCAGTTTCTAATAAAGTTGTCTGTCCATGTGACTTTATAGAGGATTACATGCTCCCAAAAGTACCCTGTCTTGAACGAAGATGAGCAAGGCCTATTGTGACAACTATCAAGTCTGATAGTTCTATAAACACTTTTAATAACTTTCAAATGCTTAGAGGAATACAATGTAGGACTGGTATACTGCACAGCTCTCTGCCTGGCACTGGTCAATTATTCTAATAGGACCTAGGACCCTAAAGAATTACTGTATTGACAAAACAATTCAAACAAATAATACATATAAATATATGTGTGTAAAAATAAGTAAAATTAGGAACCAATATTATCTGCATGATCAAGAGTTCCAGATGTCGACAAGATCCATTAATCTGTGGTTTGTTCAAACGATGTTTAATTATAGCTTTGAGTGAAGTCTTTTCAGTCCCGCCCAACATTCAACATCCTGGTAGCCATGACAACAGCTCAACCACTGTCCACTTGAAGGTAGTGGATTTCTTTGCAGGAGGGGCACAAAGTAAAAAAGGTAGAGTAGATTAACAACACTCAGGATTGAATGTATTGACAAAATCTGACATTTTTGCTGCAAAACTGTACAATATCCATAGAGATGCATTATCCAGAACAATGTTAAAAGATAAAGCAAAAGAGCAGTGCAATAACCCCATAAGCTGCTCACTCACTACTGGTAAATACTGTACATGTATCACTCTTTGACTAACTGAAAATTTCATGATGTGTGACGACTAAATCCCAAGGTCTATACACAACATTCAAAACAATCTGCAATCGACTCAGTCTATGAAAGAGGGAAGATGAGTAAAAAAAAACACGGAAAAATGTTTCTCTTCAGATTCACACTTCACTGATTCTGAACATTGAAGCACTTAATCAAGTTACTTAATTGTCTTTGAGAACATCAAAATGAAAGGTGCACTATATTACTTTAGTGATGTGAGAGATCTGCCGCCATGGAGATGTTAGTATTTTGCCTGGAATGTATGACATTAAATGTACCTATTTAGCATTTAATTAATCTAACATACTTTGAAAAGCACACATTCCTACATTGAGAGAGATTGCCCCACCTCAAATGACTTTGCTGTCTCCATGGCGATATATAAGTTTAAAACATACTTGGAAACATTCTTGGCAAAGAATAACATAATATGTAACATAGAGAAAAGCAGAAGACAGAATCTCAATCAGAAACGTAAATAATAAAAAGTAGCATTAGAGAAGTACATTTTATGAACCCAAAGCTTCAAGCAACTTTAACATCATTGTTTTCTGTTTTATAATAATAATAATAATAATAATAATAATAATAATAATAATAATAATAATAATAATAATACATAACACTTCGATGGCGATTTTTATGACACTGAGTAGTCTTCAAGAATGTAAAATTTGCCTTCTCTAAGTATAATATCCTGAGGTAATTGGATTGTAAGCACTGGGATATGCCTGGCAGCCCAGCTCTGCAGTTGTTTTGAATTACTAGAATTACTAGTGTCAGTACTAAGGACCCCCAAGATAAGATAATGGTTTCACCTGAGGGGTCCTGAGTGGTAGTGAGAAGGGGTAATTGTTCTGAACAACCCAGTGCGAGCTCTCTGTGAGGAAGATGCAGATGTGTTCATTGCAGGGGCACAGCATAACTCACAGGGGGGAGATAAGTGCGATCATTTAATATGCGGCTCTCACTTGGGCTCTTACATTAGAGTTGTGGAGGGCATAAAAGCTCATACGGTTCAAGTACTGGCTCAATGAAAAATATGTGTGATGCCTTTTCAAGTTCTTCAAAATTAAAAATACTTTATCTACAACCACCCATTATTGTGTATGGGTTTTAGTATTGTCACACTACTGATCTGCAACTGCAGGAGATACACCTGAACACTAAATGTTCCACTGACGACTGTAGATGGAGCAGTGAAAGATGGGTTGCGGTTGATTGTGGGCGAAGTCCTGGCAGTTAACCTTTAAATGGCCTAATTAAACCGAAAAGCTATCAGGAGCCGCTATTAAATCAAAGCTGCAGCAGGAGGCCAGTGAGGGATGTGCTTTTAACTGTTTCACTATCACTCTTTTTCTTCAGCTCTCACTGTCTGGAAATTGTGTGTTGTTAAAAGGTCATTATCATGACCAGAAGGTGCAAACACTTCATCTACATACAATCAGTTATTTTTAAGCCCTATTAAACTTTCTACTAAAATTTTAACACAGTATATCAAGTTACTGTAAATTTACTACAAACTCAGACCAATTACTTACAACTAATTTATTAATATATAGAATATAATGTAACTTTCAAAGTTTTCCAAGATCTTGATACTGATTTGGTATTATAGGCTAGAGTTTATTATGTAGCCTTATCAATAGTCAGTGTGAGTAAATGAATAAATAAATAAATAAATGAATAAATAAATAATTTTATTATGAACATATAATAAAATGCTTTCAGCCAGTTAGATTTTATGTCCAGTTTGTTTTAGATGTGACATTCAGATTTGTGTATGGTACAATACATTTTTGTTTGTTTTGTTTCAGACCACAAGACTGAACCCAGTTCATGAATGTTAATGATTTTATATTTTCTCACGGCAGACTGCCAGTAACTGAGCTTATCCCTGCTGTGCAGGCCTGCAGCTCTGTACTGTGCGTTCGAGACAGTAGCACACCACACACACACACACACACACACACTACACACACACACACCCGCACACACGCGCACACGCACACGCACACGCACACGCACACACACACACACACACACACCACACACACACACACCCGCACACACACACGCACACGCACACGCACACACACACACACACACACACACACACGCACACGCACACACAGAGAGAGAGAGAGAGAAAGAGAGAGAGAGCGGCTCAAATGGTTTGGACGAGTTTTAGGTATAAGATAAGTTTACAGTGTATCTTTATGCTAGTCTACTTAATGGCTTACAAACTGCCTTCCTGTAATTATGCTTTAACTGTCGGACGGTTTAGTCAAGATCCGTGGAATACCAACATGTTTATATAGGGAGATCATCAAATTTCTGTGAACATCGTTTCCTAAGAGAATGCTTTTGCTACTGCAATGTAAAAAGAGGATACTCGAGGGCTCGGCGCTGCTGGGGGAGGGGCTACACACATACATTGTCAATCGTTTCTATTTCAAACTCATTATGAGAGAATGTGATGTGGCCAAAGCTCTAGTGCGCTCTCAAAGCTGACTGGAGCGCTCTGCTATTGGACAGAGAGGGTCGGACTTAACTCTACAAGTGGTTCCACTGAGCGCGTACGACCAGTTGCTCCTCGGTGCGCGCTGCTCATGGATCAGCTAGGAATGCTCTCAGCGCAGTTACCTGTGACCGCTCTCTGCGGCAAGTGACCGCTGCCCAGATGAACCGCCGCCCTCCAGGATCACCCGGTGTGCAATGGCTTAACCGGAGAGACATGAGTGTGCGCACGGATGACAGCTTCACTTTATGCCAAAGGGCTTTGCAGATGGTTACAGAACTTTGTCTAACTGGACACGTGGACCGTGAAAGATGCTCGGATATATTCCCTTTGGGAAGTGATATTCTGGGTAAAGGGCACGCAGGTAAACTCACGCGAAAAAACTTTAATAGCCTGTTTCTGTTATTCTGTTTGTTTTTTGTTTTTTTGTTTGTTTGTTTTTTTCCACTTTTTTATTCGTTGTTATTGTATATAATAATGTAAATATTGTATATAGGCTATATGTATTACGCATGGAATGAGAGTAGGTGTTTATAAAGCATAACTTAACTGAATAGCTTGCTCCTTTGGGGCACTGGGGCTTTCTGTTAAAACAGGGCTATGTTAGCAACTCCTCAGTGCTTATTTTTTATTGCAACAGGTAGAAAGCAGATTGAAGCAGCCCTTGAAACCTGCTGATTGATATTTGTTCTTTTAAAAATTTTATAAAGTGAACATTGCTGTCCCTCCTTCTTACAGCTTCCTTCTCTCTTTCTCCCTGCATGTTGGTCTTGTTACTTGTGTCCTGCTTGCTTCACTTGTCTGTCTGTCTATGCTCCTACTGCTCTGTGTAGACATCTCCATCAGTCTTCTTGCTGTGGTAGTGGGTTTCTGTGGTCTCGCTCTGTTGGTAGTGTCTCTCTTTGTCTTTTGGAAGCTGTGCTGGCCCATCTGGAGGAACAAGACTCTATCCACGCAAACACAAAATGTCCTACATGTGGGTTTCACTGAGGCCCCTCCGCCCTCCAACCCTGCTCATACACCAGAGTCCAAAGTGGTGGAGATGGAGAAGAAATGGCCCCTGGAGGTGAAGGCCAATGGACGCTGCTGTGTCAAACTGCAAGAGGCTGCCATGAAGATCAGTCAAACATCCCCAGACATCCCAGCAGACCTGAGGACTGCCCCCAGGGAAAAGGTCAGCCAGCCGAGCAAGATCCAGAGGCAAACCACTGAGCCCACCTCCTCATCCAGGTACAGCAGTGCCATACCATACATCTGCAGGCAATATCAAAACATACTTAAACTTCAACATTAGTCAGTGTACTCTGGATGACATGACTAATATGTGATTCACTGACATCATTTACATAAAGCTGCACAGTTCCCATGAATAGTTGAGCCATGCCATGCCAAAAAGGTCCTGGGTCTTCTAATTCACAGTCACACCATCCATGGGTTTTAGTCACGTGACTTACAATCCATACAATGTTTTGCATTTTTAATTGCAATGGCCCTTATTTTTATGTATGTATGTAACTTTTCTGATTGATGGTCCATCACCATGGATATGTTAGTGCTTTAATTTTTCAAAACATGGCATTAAATGTATTTACCTCCATGGAGACACCAGGCCAACTATCAGGCCAGATCCATGAAGAGGCAATCCGGCTCACAGTAATAATATATGTTTTTCAGGTATTTTGGAGCAATAACAATATGCATAATGAAATACCATGAAACATTCCAGGGAAAGCGATAAAATCTTCACGGAAACCAGACAAAGTCATATAGTGCACCTTTAGCAATCTGGAGACTAAGGCACATGTGCAAAAAGAATGGTACGTAAGTAGGTAAGCGATTGGATTGATACAATACAAATGAGTAATTAATGGGCTTTTTCTTATCCATAATACATTGTTGCACATAAAGGAGTCTGTCTGTGCTTTGACTGTGAAAACGGAGGGTTCTCCAGTGTGTAGCCTCCCATCTCTCCTGGCTTCACTTTCAACCCTATAATCATCTGTACACGCGAGTTGAGCTGCTATGGTAACCAAAGGAAGCAACCCTTGTAATTAAACAATCAGCTGTGGCTTTTCATTGTTTTGCAGTGCAGTGTTTAAAACAGAATGTCCATAATTAGCCTGACTGTGGGATGGGAGCTGTCATGGTGGAACATGGCACTGGCCCCCACTCGCAAAGCTGTTACTGATACTTCCTTCACTTCTTCCTTGAGTACGTAATTAGATTTTAAGGAGCTCAACTATACTCCCACCTGCAGTGAGGTAGACAGGCCAAGTTAAGTATACCACAAGTATAGAATACCAACAGCTTTTTCATGTTTGTTTGTTCCATAAAGTAGTATTTGTAAATGCATTTTCCTATATGTGAATTTTAAAATTAAGGTTAATAAATATAGAATGAAGTAGCATAAACATGGACTATTGGAGAATAACATAAGAGTGATTTTCTGTTATGTAGCGTTTGAGCAGTGGCTTTTCTGATCACTTTGATAGTCAGGGAAAGGGGGTAGGGTCTGTTGCTAGGTGACAATATTGGTGAGTCTAAACAGCCATGTCCTCAAGATGGGGTGGGAAATTCAGGTTATGAATGGTTTCTCAAGGCTTGAATTCATCGAATTTGTGTTTAAGAAGTCTGTTATTTTACACTGTATTTATTATTCACTCAGTGTTTACACATGCTTTTATAGTCAGCTCACCCTGCACCTTCCTATCCACCACTTTCAATCACTAGCCGCTAGATAATGGCTAATGCCAAATGGGAATAGAGAGCTGCTAATTTAGTTGGTTCTCTAAAATTCTCATGCTTTCCCATTTTCCTTCATGCCTAAAAGAAAAATGTGTTTGAAATAAATTTTGCATAATTAAATAATTCATTAATAAATAATTTATTTGCATTATTTACAACTTTAAATCAGTACTAATAGACATTATGATATGTACTATTAACATGTAAATTTGAGAGGAGAACATGACATAGTGTTTTGAATTGAATATGTATTATTGTGGGGCCCTATACAATCTTTGGATAAATAGGGGATCCTATTCATCACCAGAATGAATAGTAGAGTAAGTATGTAACTAAGTAAATTTATTTATTTATATAGCACTTTTCACAGACAAAACAAAGTGCTATAAAAGCAGGTACACCGTAAAACAACAATAAGTAAACTAGGGTCATGGGACTCAATCAACCAAAAGTATTTCTAAGCAGGAGTGTCTTCAGCTGTTGCCTGTCATTCACATCTGTAATTAATTTTTGCCTTTGTGTGAATATACAAAGTTCATTCAGAGCTTTTACTTGACCCTTTACCTGACCCTTTTCATAGGCATAACTCTTTCCGGCGTCACCTGCCTCGTCAGATGAATGTGTCCAGTGTGGACTTCAGCATGGACACAGTACCACTACGACAGACCTCCACTGCTAGTATCGGCCGGATCAAACCAGAACTGTACAAGCAGAAGTCAGTGGACTCAGAGGATGAGGGAAAGGCTCCCGTAGAGACTTGTGGAAAACTCAGCTTCTCCCTCAGATATGACTATGAGGAGCAGGCTCTAGTAGTGAAGATACTAAAGGCTTTAGACCTGCCTGCTAAAGACTTTACAGGTACATCTGATCCATATGTGAAAATCTATCTACTCCCCGAGAGGAAGAAAAAGTACCAGACCAGAGTCCATCGCAAAAACCTCAATCCAACCTTTGATGAGAGCTTCTGCTTCCCCGTGGCTTATGACGAGTTGTGCAATCGTAAGCTGCACTTCAGTGTCTACGACTTTGATCGCTTCACCAGCCATGACATGATCGGCGAGGTGGTGGTGGACAACCTCTTTGAACTTTCTGACCTCTCCCGCGAGGCTGTGGTGTGGAAGGACATCCATGCAGCCACCACGGTGAGACATATGCCTGTTTACAGTGCTTGGAGTTTAAGAGAGGGATTTGTGTGAGAACAAATAAACATTCAAAAATTAGTCATAGTAAATTTGTCAAATGGCTGGTTGATCTCAATGCATTATTCAAATGCCTCTAGGAGAATGCATCCAATCAGCCAAACACCCACACAGTGTTCCTTCCAGGAGCTGCCCAAGTGGTTCAACACACATAAATAGAGCCACTGTATAAAAATAGACTACACAATGGAGAGTCATCTACTAAATATTCAAGTATGGCCCAGTATATTTTATTTAAATATAATACCAGTTTTGAATTGTGGTTACCATTTAAATTTCTGCTGGCACATAGCTCAATGAATAAGGTTGTAGAAGAACCTATAAGAAAAAATATCCTTCATGATCTTGTACTTATGTTTTCAGATTTTGTGTAGTGCTAAAGCTAATTTCTTGTGTTTTATTTCCCTTCTCTGGTCCAGGAGAGTGTTGACCTGGGAGAGATCATGTACTCATTATGCTACCTCCCCACAGCGGGCAGAATGACCCTAACAGTTATCAAATGCAGAAACCTCAAAGCCATGGACATCACAGGCTCGTCAGGTAACCATATACCAAACAAGATGTGATCGACATCAAAACCACACTGTCGTAAATAAACTTCTGTTCAACTAAACAACAGGTGGCCACTCACAAAGTCTTTGGGGACAAATAATTAAAGCTTACCATCTGCTGTGAAAAAGCTTTGCAATCATAAATCCCCAGAAGTCCTTATACTCTTAATCAAACATTTGGACCAACTTAAAAAATGTTTCATTATAACTAATACTGACCTAAATGTTAGTAACAAAGGATACGTCTAAGAGCTGCAGGGGAGATAAATACGATGTGAAAAGCAACAATTTATCATATACATTTTATACAATTAGAGATAGAAGAGTTTATACTGGCTTTCATTTTATTTAGTCAGTTCCATATATACTAGTCGATCTCACCCGGGACAAAGGGGGAGGGGCTTATCCAGTTCTTATTATAGTTTGGTGCACATGCACACTCCACTCACAGAGATCAGGAGTCTAACCCACAACCTCCTGGTGAGAGGGAGGAGACAGGATAACCACTTGCCAACATCAGAGCGTTCCAGAGAACAGCCGCTGAAATCTCAGTAACACATTTGCATGACTCTGAAAGTTACTCAGAAAATACTCAGGTTAAGGGGCGGGGCCTCACTGCTCAGGTAAAGGGGCTGGGGAGTTCTGTTGCTATGGGCAACCATTGCATGGAGACAGGAGAGAGATTCCAAAAGTTTCTGTTAAATTATATCACTCATTTTTAAAGATCTTTGACATTTTTTACTTTAACAACATGAAACTTGGCACTGCACACACCTGTACGAACAGGATGACACCCTCCAAATTTGAGATCAGCCGGATGAGTGGTTCGAGAGTTATGCATGGAACAGGAGGACACACAAACAGACATTTTTTGCATTAATAGATTGTCATTTATTGTTTCTGAAGATCCCTACGTGAAGGTGTACTTGATATGTGAAGGGAGGAGGTTAAAGAAGAGGAAAACTACCACAAAGAAAAGCACTCTCAACCCAGTGTACAACGAGGCCATCATTTTTGACATCCCCCCTGAAAATGTGGAGCAGGTCAGCCTGTCCATCATGGTCATGGATTATGATAGGTGAGCGAAACACACATTCCTTCATACACACAACCTGCAACTTGAAAAACGTATGTAAGTGCCATAAGACAGGTTTTCAGCATAATAATCGAAATGATTACATGCTTTCCAGGAGGTGTAATTGGGGTCACTTGGGCTGTCCCTGTGAGTCCATAGGAGAAACATATCTAATTCTTTACATAATTGAATGTCTCTAACAGGGTTGGACACAATGAAGTGATAGGCGTTTGTCGCACTGGTCCGGATGCTGAGGGGCTGGGCAGAGACCACTGGAACGAAATGTTGGCATATCCACGGAAACCCATCACACACTGGCACGCGCTGGGAGAGGTATGCACATGATCTAGGGATGAGTGTACAATCAGTTGTTATTACATCAACAATACTCATTCTTTGTACATGGGCTTAACTTCATATTAAAAAACATGCATGTTATAATACAGCCTTTTCCAAATGGGATAACATATTTTTTCTTCATGTGAATTAGAGCCCGACCGATATATCGGCTGACCGATATTATCGACCAATATGGGCAACTGGAGACATATCGGCTATCGGCCTATATGCTTGCTGATATGGGCCGATATTTCACGTAGGCATGTTATACCTCGTTATAAAGCTTAGACTCTCTACATTATGTTCATTTAATCCAATTTACAGACAGATAAATGTCCTAATATGTGGATCCGCATTAGTATTTATCTGCGGTGTAATTTTTTTGTGTCCTACTGTCCCTGAACACACCACCAGAGTGACATCACTTCACTCGCGTGTGTTTGTTTACACCCGCAGCCGTGCGCAACACTGAGATTATATTCTTTCTCGGACAATCGGTTTGAGTCTGGATTAAAAGGACATTTATTAGTGCAGACTTGTGATGTGAGGAGGAGCCTGTGTGAGCGGTGAGTGTTGGAAATACATCGACTTTGAAGCTAGTTTAGGTTATCTGTTAGCGATTAGCTGCTGTAGCTCCCGCACATAAACAGGCTGTTTTCTATTGGTCTATTGTAAAGTGACTATATTGTCCGTATATTTGTTACTGGACCTTTACATTGATATGTAAATGAGCTGTGAATAGATGTGTGAATGATCCACATTTATGCATATAATTAATTACCGCGGCGCCGCACGTTTTTACGGCTAAAGGCTAATAGCGATAGTTTACTAGCTAGGAGTTATGGGTCGGTCGCGATCGAAGCGGCTCTTAGAGCGAACAGCGGGAGCCTGCTTCTTATTGGGAGACGTGTTTTCTCTTTTTCTCACGTTTTCTCTTCATGCTGCATGTAGACCCATAGTTTGACAGCAGCAGCGGCTGAAAACGAAACTTTCAGAAATCTGCGCGTGCATAGGATAAAAAAGTGCACATTTGGCTGCAGTTCAGCATAAAATGAATAAACCAGGACTAATCTTGGGCTCGAGTGAAGGAGAGAGATAGAAACCGAGTCCCGACACTCAGTCCTGGTTCAGTTCAGGTTCAGTCCTGCTTGCAACAAAACAATCTCAAGAGTCGCTTGGGAGCCGAAAGAGCCAGCTGCTTTAGTGAGCCGAGCCAAAAGAGCCGGTTCTCCAAAAAAAAAAAAACTGAAATACCCATCACTAGTAGCTAGAATGTGATGCAAAAATGCCATTAGGCCAATCTACTGTATGTAAATATGATGTAAAGAGTCAAAATAACAATAAATCTTGCCTAAATAAACCCAATTTAGAATCCACTAGAGCCAAACCTAAGTTTTTTAATCAATTCAAGATTTACAGTGAATTTTTACATCACTAAATATATCGGCGAATATATAGCCTATCGGCAGCTCCGACTCCCATTATGTCAGTTTCATATCGGCCACAACAAAATCCATATCGGTCGGGCTCTAATGTGAATATTTTATGTTTGTTTCAGTGGCCAGGAAGAGCAGCCAGCTTTGAAAGTCAAGGTTCATGTCCTTCACCCAAACCACCTCACACTCCATGAGAATCACATCAAAGAAGTTGGAAGAAGTTCAATGTAATTTCTGTGAGATCTCTGATACATGCACATAAAATGCACATACAAAAGGATATACCTTAACCAAGTTGGATAAGCACTACAAAAGCCTATTTTCAGTAAGCCCTTTTAAAGATGCAATGGTCTTTAATAACAGAGCATTTTGTCAAGTCAGTACCTAATACATCTATTCAAAAATAACATTAAAAGAAGCACAGGACCGGCAGTACTTATAACATGGCATTTCAACTGTTTTACATATTCTGGGTGCATACTTTTCTAGCCTGAGAGCTCTTTAGCTAGTTTGCATTTAAACAAAATGGCACAAAGTTAAAGGGCTACTCTACAGCATTATAAAACAATAGCCATCTTGATGGAAGTACAGCTATTGGTTATGAGTTATTGGTATTGTGCCTCTGACAAAACGTGTCCATTCATTTAGCATTACAGTTAATCCTGTTGCAGAGTTAGTGTAGCAAGTAGATGTAGCAAATGTGTCAATACAAGAAGATTGATTTGTTTTAGTGCTTATTATTAAAATAGAAGGCATTACAGCACTGTTCACAAAAAATAATAGAACATGTTATTCTTTTATTTTGAACAGTACATTATAGCTAAAATGCACACTGAAACATTGTATATTGAAACATGGAGTCATAATGACAAATAAGAAAAACTGTAATGTTAGTGGTAAAAGTGACACATAAACCTCCATTAATTTGATGTAATTGTACATGTGAACAAGTATATACTTGTTTTTCTTGCTTGTCTATGACTCAGAGTAATAACAATTTAACTTGGCAAATAGTACAAGGCTGTATACTGTTATTTTCTTACTTGCACATAATATTTGAATATTGATGCTTCTCTTCACATTGTCCTTAATATGTAAAAAAATAACAAATATTTTTACTTGAAGCATGTTTTTGTGAAATTTAGATTTTTTTTTGTGGGTTTGTGTGAATATAGCTGCTGTATCAGAGATGCACATTATATACTGAGGCTTACTAAACCTAAATGTGCCAAAGACATTTGAATCACACAGAAAGGCCAAATTCAACCTCATCTGCATTGGACAGAGCACACCCACATTGTCTTAATCTTATCTGCTGTATAATAGCTTTTGAACATTTACAAAGTTATGCTGCAACTGAGGGACATCACAGTCATTTCCACCCCAAGAAATGGTTTTGCAATGAAGAATATATGCCAACACTATACAGGAATAAACACATTACACCTGATTCCTCCAAAAAGTGCTTGTGCTTGTGGCGTGATTATGCGCAGCACTATTTCCCTAACAATTTTACTTCAGTCGGTATATTGTACCTTTTTCTTCTGCTGTCTTTGGGAATAACTGCTGTCCATAATCGTAATGTAGCGCAGCATATCCTGTACACCATTTTTGCATACTATAGCCTTAAATGTTCACTTGAAATTACAGTCCGTGGTTTACTTTGAACAGTACAAGATACGGATTGTGAAGTTGGCACTTTTGTGACTTATGTTGCCATCGTTTAGTAAAACTTTGTATTTCTCAAATGTGTACTTGAGTGAATAATAGCCCCTCTAACAACAGTGAATAATTATATAATAATAATATATATATATTATATTTAATGCATAGTGAGGGCATTTTTCTTCACTATAGCAAGTTGTTCTGTGTTTAGAAGAATATTCAAAATGTAACTGTATGTTTCTGTATTGAACAAAAGAACAAATGTCATGATGTGTACAGTTTGTGATACCTTTTGTAAGGATTTCAAGTCGGTTATTGAAATAAAAATGTAATGTAACCACTGAAAATGTATTTCAACAAAATAAATACAACAATATTGATCATTGTCATTTCTTTAGAAGAGTAAGGCTTTCTTTCATATAACCTATTGAACGCTATATACTCATACGAGGGATTCATAAATGGACAATGTACAATACACTCCCGTGCTAATGGAACATCAAATTAAATAATTCATTTTCATAATGAGAAATTGAAGTCCAGTGAATGATTCCTGGAAAAGACAATTTACTTTAATTTATTTTAATTAGATGGCTTATTGTGTTTTATAGTTTCACCAAAACCCCACTGGAGAAAGGTTTCCCTCAACCTTCTTGCATCTAATTGAGGTGGAAACATCAATAGAATATTTTTGATCCTTTGAGCAGCATCCAACAGAACTTCCTTTTGTTCCACAAGATTACTGAAAAACAGATAATGGCACATGTTGCATTTGTTGCCTTGGCGATGAGAGCAATCCCCAGCGGTGACCTGCTCCACAGTGAAGTGCAGTGTAGACAGTATTTAACATTACACTGCTAAAAGGCTTCATATTGTGATTTAATTAATGATTTTTAATTTACTGGACTGAATATACAGTTACAGGAAATTGCATTGAATGTGCTCATATGAGCTTCTGTTTCCCACACTCTCGCTTCACTTGGTCTTAATTAGAAGAGGCCAAATATATTTTAATTCACTTTCAGACAGACAAAATAATATTTAATATTAAATGTAATATGAGGACAATGCCTCTTTACAATTACATTTAAGAGATGATTGGTGCCTTAAATATTTTTCCACATAAAAATATTAAGAAAAAGTTTAAGTCAGTTAGGAAATATAATTTAATAGATACATTTTATTCACTTACATTATTGATGGTTGCCACAGAAAGATTGTTTAATCTCTACACCAAGCCCAGTCATTTTATTTTTCTGCACAGAATGTTTCAAGCCATAATACGTCAAAATAAAGTAAAATAAAGTGTCACAAAGCATCTACCTAGGATCACTTTGACCACTGTCTAATGAATTCACTGTCACTGTTAAGTGCTGCTCACTGGACATATAGAGCTAGGCTATGAGTTTGTAATATATCAATTATCATAAAGTGACTGAAATAACTATATAGATCTCCTTCTGGTCTTTCGGCTGGCCTGGGAACACCTTGGAGTCCCCCAGAGAAGCTAGAGGAAGTGTTCTGGGTGAAGGAAGTTTGGGAGTCTCTGCTTAGACTGCTGCCCCCATGACCTGGCCCCGGATAAGTGGAAGAAAATGGAAGGATGGATGGAAATGATTATATGTCAGAATTCTGTGGTGATATTTAAGTTTATTATAGCTGCTATAATTTAATGTTGTGAAATATCCTCACATCCTTTTGCTTGTTTATTGATGTGCAGAGAAGGGCATAGTAAAAGCATGCTTAATGGATCTCAAGGTCTTGGCCAGTAGAGAAGGATCTATTGATGCACACTGTAGCTCTTTGTGTCCAATGTTTGTAGAAGAAGACAATAAAGGCTGTTCAAAACTGGCAAATAGATTTTTTTTTCTCAACATAGTAGTTTTAAACAGAGAATAACGACTTTCAAGATCTCTAAAGTAATGTGTCCACTGATGATTCCTGAAAGGATATGACTCAGACCAGTCCAAGAAGAATAATTAAAATGTGTGCGTCAATGTGCAGGCGATCCAGAGGCGTCAGCGTGCCCGATCAGGTGTGAGGCAAGTTGAGGCCCCATTACTGTCGTCACTGGGCACATGGACATATAGAGGGTGGAGAGAGAGGAGGTTGAGGGGAGTATGTGTGTTGAACTGGTGATCTACATGAAGCGCAGAGATGGAGTCGTCAGCATGAATCACCTCAGAGCCTATCATCACTGGGCTGAGCATGAACCTCATTGCAAATATTTCTCATCAAGTCCCACCGCCACAGATCTACTTTATCCAAATATATTTTCTTTATCTTTGGAATTGTAAATAGTTGTGGAATTTTAGTTGGGTATAGTCCATAACTTTAGATTTGCCCAGGTTTTTGACACAGGAATGCTCTTTTGGTACAAAGCATGTCCTCCTTAATAACATGTCTTACTAAACTAACATTTTTGTATCTCTGCATTTAAATAAATTTAATTCCAACTTGAAGAAGCTTTAAAGTAATTTATATTTAATATTATATTACATGCCTTTTATTTTTTTAGAAATGCAAAATATCCAACTCCAGAAGTATTTGATGTATTGATATATACACATATTATTATTATTATTTAAGATTGAATAGTCTTTAATGTGATCCTAGAAAGTTGTGAATAAAAGTCCTTCATTCACTCCAGTGATGAGTCACCTACTAAGTGTGAGAAGGTGTCAAGGCTGACATGCTAGTATGAGCTCTGAGCAGACACAACTACAAAATAGAAACAACAAAATCATACTAAACTCATATTGCAATTGTAGATCTCAAGATTTTGATGACATGCCTTGAATTCTAGTTAAGTATGAGAACATGCAATCCAGAACACAGATCAACAAACAGCAACAGTTTTTTTTTATGTAGCTACATTCTCACATTCAAACACTACAGCCCAGGAGATGGAGGATTTTTACGCTGCTGGTGAGGAAAAGAGATGAATGTCCTGTCGTACACGCTAAATCTGCTTTATATCTCTGGCAGCCACCAACTCCCAGCTTAATTTGGTGGAGGCTGAAGATAAGCCCATATCGAGCAGTGTCCCTGGGCTTATTTATCCACAGACTCCAGGTGTCCCCCACTGGGCTTCACTGCCTGTTTTATGTGACAATGCATGGTCCTTATAGGGGAAAAACAAACTATGACTGCTCATTTTAAACAATGACTGCATTGTTCTGTCTAAATCAACAATTTTTAAATAATGACTGCGTGTTTAATATTATTACAAAAAAGTTTGCTGAAATTACATTAATCTGTTGGAGCACTCTCAAGTAGCACTGTAGAGTTCCACTGTAGACATTTAGCCAAAACCTGTAAACACACTCACTTCATGTAGACTTGTCTACCTTATGGGGAAAAACATCAGGACCCCACCCCCATTACATAAATGCTTTATTATTACACCAACAACATGATTTAAAAATGACATCATATATTTTTGCATACTTATGGCCATATTGATCTAAAGGGATTTAATAATAGAAACAGGTCTGCTAACTTCTG